TTTATTATTTTAGGATCGCAAAGTGATTCTTCCCAATTGTGCAACCCTTCACCGCACATGACATAATTGTTTACCCAAACAAAAGACTCAATCGCCGCCCATGTCCTTGATAAAAATAAAAAAAAGGTCATTGTAGAACAGGCAAATACTGCTGAATACACCAAAAGGGAAAATTACGTAGCAATTCATTTGTACCACTCAGGGGGTATGCGCTTGTTTAGGGGTTTTTGAAACTAAAATAAACAAACTAATTTTTAAAACTTACGTAGCAATTCATTTGTTTCACTCAGGGTTAAATCACTCTATAATGGTTTTTAAACCTAAAATAAATAAACCTATTATTTAAAATTAGGCAGCAATTAATTTTTTTCACTCAGAGGTTTGTTCGTTTGTTTGTTTTTTAATTTCGCGCAATGCTACTAGAGGGCTATCTGTGCTAGTTGTCCCTAATGTAGCAGTCAACATCACCCACTGCCAAATCTTGGGCCACTTTTTTTTCTTTTACCAACGAATAGCGGGAGTGTACCGTCACATTATAACACACACACACACACCACGTCTGAAAGAGCAGTGACGAGGATTCGAACCCATAAATTGCGAATTAAGTGCCCTAAACACCAGGACGTTCACTTCGATGAATACACTTTTTAAGGGTTTTAAAATCAATATAAACAATAGTATAACTATAGCAAAATGCGTTTCTTATCATTTTAAAATTCATTTGTGATGATTTTAGCATGTATTTTCGTTTATGACATCACGTAACTGCGGCCAATAAGACCGAACTAGTATTTTAAAGTTACTTCTTTGAAATAAAAATTGATATATTGCGTGTGTGTGTGTTTGCTGGCTGAGCTCAAAATATTACAACTGAATTACCTTTAGTTACGAACTTTTTAACTCCTTGTTTCTTAATAGTGGTCAAAATTTTGTATTTAAGTTCATTATACGAAGATTGGCAACTCTACTTCAATTAATATCAACTTCAGGTCAGAGCAAGCTACCAACTTAACGCGAAACTAAATATCAACCCGGTAATTAATATCGCTAATTAAATATACTTTCCTTACGTTCTTATTTATAAATGTTTGTTTGTTTGGAATTAAGCACAAAGCTACACAACGGGCTTTCTGTGCCCTGCCCACCACGGGTATCGAAACGCGGTTTCTGGCGTTGTAAGTCCGCGGACATGCCGCTGTGCCACTGGGGCATAAATACTAGAATGCATTGTTTCATCAGTTCAGTAATCTCGCTGATAACGATATTTTCGGCCGTAAACCCAATAACATTTCATGAGGTTCGGCCAGCTTAGGAGATTTAGGTTAGCCTTTTCTGCATATATTCAGCTAACAATGCAAAGCAATCTGTATAATAAAAGTATGATAATAGAAATTGAAATGAAAAATAATAAAATTAGATATATTAAACATTATAACCAATATTTACTTATGGAACACACAAAAACTAGTGGTTGGATTGACGTACCGTCGTAAATTTTCTAATATTGTTATTACTCAAGTAGTAGGCGTGGCACAAACATATATTTCTCAATATCCGTCCAGCATTTATTAAGTAAAGTACTTGAATTTAGTATACTGTTGCTGTTATTTATACTTTAACGAAAGTTAAAAGATATTGTTTAAGCGCCAAGCTGCACAATGGGCTATTTGCATAGATTGAACCCCGGATTTTTGCGTTATAAGCCCTCACGAAGCTTACCGCTGAACCATCAGGAGGACACTTAAAAAGGTAAAATCAAAATAATAACCCATTTAAATTTTATGCAAAGTAAAAATTTTGATCTTTTATGCAATACAACACCATTGAAAAAAGCGTTATTTTGATTACCGAAATGTTTAATAACCATTAAATTGTAAAATTTTTCGTAACGTCTAAGCTCTGACTCTAGATCTCTGACAAATCAGGTACCTTTATTAACAGCTAGGAAATTATAACTTGTGATTCAGTACTGCTGGTATCTATCTCAACTGTATATAACTGTTTATTTGATTTTTAGCCTTTCCCATAAAGTTTGACAAAGGATCTTTAGATCTTCCAGATAGGCTCTTGAGCTCAACAGAATATAAGAAAAGAAAAAAAAATGAAAGAGTTGTAGGGAAGGCCCAAAATTAGTGGATCAAGGGGAGTTCTCAATTTACTTGCAAATTGTCAGTAACATATAAAAATCTGTTCAAAATGATCTACATTAAAATTTTGGAAAATTTAAAACTGAGGTCCCCATATGGGGGTCAAAGTGATTTGGGGGCTATTAATAGCTGGATCCGTGAATTTATATGAGAATTAAGATGGATATATACGTGATGGTTTAAAATAAATATACGCGCTTAGATTTTCACGAATGTTCATACTGAGACTACCAAATGGGCGACGAACGGTTTTGTGAGCTCTTACTGGATGCATTTTGGAAATTTTAAAACTAGAGCCTCCACATAAGAAGATCAAAGGGATTTGGGGATCTCATGATTCATTACACTTATTTACTTACATACCGACAATACCGCACCTTAGACAGAACACGGATAACCATATCTCAAGCTTGGGTTTCACAATTCTAAGTAACTATAGAAAAAAGCTTATGCTATCCTAACAAATAAGGTTTATTGATAAAAAATACACTGTTCTATTTGACATCCATTACAATCGTATTTAACCCTGTACCTTTTTTTGGATAGCTTATTCACCCAACCCTTCCTTCTTATTATTTTTTATATAAATTATAATATGGTGTTAATACCTTGATTTTAACAGCAGTTCTAGTTTATTTCTTCAACCCTAGTTACCATCACTATGCTTTTGTAAACAACAGTACACCATAATATTACTGTTCTTTTACTCGATTAGGACTAAACATATTGACGAAACGTTATTTATTTAATACGTATGTTGTTGTTTAACTTATGTATATAATTTAAATCTATTTACTGAACCTATTAATCTACTTCCTTTTTATGCAACATATTTTTTATTGAAACCGATGGCCATATATGTATTTTGAAATGTTGACATAAAGTACATAAAATACACAACGTTTTGTCAAACTATTTGATGACAGGCGAAGCGAATTTGACGAAACGCTATATGTGTACGTGTGTGTGTATTACTTTTTAGTTACAATTCTGTTTGTATAAAGAAAGATGTTTTACATTTTAGCAGGATTTTTTTTTTCGGGAGTGTTCTTTCTCATGATTTCAACTAGTTAGGTAGCATGTCTGACTCGCAATAACATTCTATACACAAGTAATTAACTTGACATTATTATAGTGAATATCTCCTAATAATCGCAGTCTCAGTGATATTTATCTGTAGTAGCTTAATGTAGGCTTTCTCAAGATGTGCTTCTTTTAGGTATGGATATAACCGTAAACTAATTATAATTTTAGAATATGAATGTCAAAAGTAAAATTTCTGATATATTTTGTGATTTAATGTGTAAATTATAATCTCCTGATGAAGGCATAAGGCGAAATACTGAGCAATAAAGAATTTTTATTTTACTGGGGTTGTTGTCTTAAAGTACTCAAAGACGTGCATCTATTGTCTTCGGGGTTTAGATTATGATGATTTTACTCTCACGTATAACGCCATCTTCTGGCTGCTATTATTTTAGTTATTGATCATGGTTCAATTATTTAAATCAAACAGTAAATATTATAGTTATAATACAGTGTTTCGCTGGTTACCGATGATCAGCTTGATCTATAGAGGCTGGAAACCCTTCTCAAACAATCTTTATGTTTATGAACTTGTATTCTCTAAACAGAAACTGGAGTCTCATAGAGATAGTTGGACCCTCATCTGAAAGACGTGCATTGTTATTTAATATCCAATGTCATTTCGTAACCACCATGACTCATTAAGCAAGCCTTCAGAATCGGAACAGAGCATGAGTTCTGAACAGATCATAATTTCACTTTCTCTCCAGTTTTCATCTTACTTTCAAATGACTAAAAATTACAATAAAGAAAAGCCCTGAAGCAGACCTTGTTGTCTGTATGACTAGTAGTTCTCCAACGAATAGTATAGACTATTTTAATTACACTAAATCCATAGATGAAAGACTCTAAAAATAGAACAAACGATTTTAAATATTAGTTAGTTGTGTTTTATGTAAACGTTTTAATGAAAATGTTTAGAGGTTTGAGAAATTATGTAAATATATATCTCAAAACTGAAATTTTAAGTAAAGCTATGTGTCTGGTTAAAAAACATTCTAACACATTTTTATGTTATTACTTTGTAAATAACCTACTTAAGTCTTAACCTAACAAGGACAAAAATATATGATATATATATAGTTCCACTTTATTTATAGAAACAGAATTCAAAACTTATATATGACAGACACTCTATCAAACTCTACTCCCAAGCAGTATTTGTAGACCATGCTCGCCCTTTCAACCGTTATAAAGTTATGATCATACTCCCCAAGAACAGGTACATATGGTTAATTCTATTATGTGTATGTTTTGGTTATTAAATTAATATTTAAGTCAACTAAAAAAAAGGTTAAAAGAAGCCCTGTAATTTTTCAACTTGAGGAAATAAAATTATAAATGAACTCGTGCAAACCTTACTTTCCATAAACTTGAAATTCAAGACAGCGATGTGGTAATCGATTGAACATTTGGTCCAAGACTAAGCGTCTGTAACGCACGTATGTATGTTATTAATAGCAATACCACTAAATTATATTAATAAAATCTAATTTTCAATGTAGGCTTCACATGTTATTTTAAGCATACCATTTTATGTATGCAGTCTACAACAAAATACACAGTTGACTAACTTTCATTAACCAGATGAAACTCTATCATATAAGACCTACAGAGAAGAAGGTACTGCTAGTGCTACTGGTGAGGTAATAAACTATAGTATATATAACCTAAGACTAATTACTCTGAGTATATCTAAGCCTAAACACTGTGTAAACCACGTTTCTGCAACTTAATGTAAGGTTATAAAAAGTATATGATACTTACTTATTTTAACAACCACCCTCTCCGCCAGGAGCGCAGTCGTAGCGATTTTCTTATGGACTTTTACAAGTAAGGAAAGAATGAGAGAAGATGGCTGGCGTTTCTCTAACTTGGAGACTCTGAAAGACAAGATCAGGCAATGCTTCGATCTTGACGAACTACACTGCCCATGCGACTAAACCAGCATTAATACAGAAACGAGGCTCTAGTAATCGATATATATTCTCGCTGGCAGGGATTTCGGCATGTACTACTAACTTGCTCCTACAAACTACAGTATGCTTCGTTCAACGACACCTAGAAACACACACAATAACTAACCTGCTAAAACAACCTTGGTAAAATGTGTGCTTTGTTTCGAACAATAACAAACTTTCATAAAGATATATATATAGCCTCAAATCTCCATAATCTATTTTTTTTCCATTAGTAGTGGAAACACACACCCTTGGTACTTATACTAGAAAACATTTTCTAGTAAAATATAATTATCAAGAGTGAGCCTACAAACATTACGTTTTTTGATTGAATTGGTGTGACAGTTATAAGTATTTTATATTATTATTTGTTGAAATAGCACGTTCTAACTTCCGCCCATGTTTATTCAGAAGAACTTGGGGTTAATGTATTTAGCCCTATGTCTAATGGTTCTACACTGTATTATACCAATTTATTACTATAAATATTTGTCTGGAGACTGGAGTAATCTAGAAAGTCTAAAAAATGCGTGTTATTTACCAGATGTTTAATATAACTACTCAAAGTATAATAAAAGTATATAATCGAAAGAATACTACAAAAACTAGTTTCCTGTGTTTAGCCTAATTAAAGTCAGTAAGGATTTAAGTGTTCAGTGTTCGTTCATAAAGATACTAACAACTAAGTCAAATACAAGCAACTGCATCGATTCATCTGCAAAATGTTTTCACCCCTGAAGTACAATCTTTTCTTTTTCTATACTCAATAAGAGCTACTGTGAAAAATTAGATTTGCAGTGAAGTTACAAAGATGTTATTACAGTGTTTAAATCATTAGCGAATAAGAGTTGAGTGCAAGTTATACAATTCCTATAATGTTTCAAGTAAAAAATAATTTTAGAAAATTTTAATGAGCACTCATTTTCCAACTAAAATACCTGTTATGAATAACTTGAGAATTACTAAAACCCAGAACGCTGAAGGTAAAATTACGATAACAAGAAAATAACTGATATTGTATTACAAACTATTGTTAATAACTTTGTATGCGGCTATACGCCATGCTATTTTTATTGTAAATATTCTGTAAAAGAGATCATTTGAAGGAAGGGGAAGTTTAACCGGTAGAAACTATTCATATGCCTTGAATGATTACTTTTAGTGGAGAAAATGCTAGACTGAGAGACATGTATAAATCCAGCAGATATTTAAGAAAACTCCAGAATTATAATATATAAAGACACTAAAGCTGACAAAATCGTTATTATTCAAGTGTTTTCACACTGGAGTACAGAGAGAGAGAGGCGATAAGATATCTAGAGATTATTTGTTCGAGTAACGTATATGAATGTTATTCCAGAAAAAAAATAATTAAAAACAACAAATTCTTACACTCTATTCTTTGGATAATACTTTTTTTTTCTACTGAATGATAATTCTGATGGTATAAATCATACAAATAAATCCAACAGTTTTCATTACATATACTCACATACAAATTCTATATTATCAGAGACAGTTTATTGGATAACAATTGAGATAAAACGAGATTCAGAAAGACGGAAAATGAGTAAGTAATCAATATTAAGTTCATTAGCCATTTAAGTTTACCTGATTCGTCGTTATAAACGATTTATGGTACCTGTAAAAATGTTTCCACTACACAATTACGTACTTTTCGAAATTAACGTGAGCCTTAAGGAAAAGAAAATACATGTATTTGTTCTTCTGGAAGAAAAGAAGATACTAAAAAATTATGAAATAAATCGATTACTAAAGAATTTAATTTTAACTTTTAATAATTTACTGTATTACGACAGCAGATTTTAAGTGAATAATAAACCATATAAAATATATATAAGTTAATAACTGTTTTATAGCTCTACAATTCTATGAAAGGCGATATTTTCTTAATTTAGACACTTGTATTGTTTTTGGCCAGAAGGAGTTTATAATTTCAAGCGACAAGCGCATAGTTTAATGACTAGAATTTTCTTGAAAGTTTATGGAATGACTTTGTAACACGCGTGTTACACGTAAGCGTGATAAATGAGATAGTTGGTTGATTACTGAATCATATAATTAGTTAGTTCAGCGGTGTACACTTTGAGTTTGTGTTTTCAACGAACTAATAGATACGAGCAAGTACCATTATTTATATAAAAGAGAAAATTACGTATAACTTGTACTTGGGGAAATATAATGCTTTCGTTATCATTATGTGGACAAGATTTGCATTCTTTTTTTTACCGAATAATCTAATAGAACTCGCACAATAATAGAAACTGTTGCAACACTGGAATACAGGGTTGTAACTATTGGGAGAAGGATCAGTTCTCTTTGCCTGATAAGGCCATATTTTGCCTGGCAGATATAGCTTCTCTCACTTGCATACGTACTGCTTACTCCTTACTGAAAATTTAGAAAAGAAATATATCAATCGCCAATACAATAACATTTCAAATGACTTAACATTTTTATTATTTATTATTTATTAACAAAACTTCCTACAATCGTCTGCTTTTAACTGTTATTATAACAAAAACTAAACAATAATAAAATATTCACTTACAAAAATAAATTAATCACTAAAATCTAAACTAAACAGTCTTTTATATCATGGCATAGCACAAGATAACAGCCATCGGAAATGTACAACAAGATTATAACAGCAAGATCAAAGAAGCGCAAAGAAGCGTCAATACCAGAAGAAACAAAACTGCAATGGTAAATTCAAGGATCAAATGAGCCACATCTGTTTCTGTATCTGCTCAAGAATTACAACCTCAAACATCATTTACTCTGAAATGTGGAATAGGAGAACCTATCTGGTCTATACCTGTTAC